GGCTGAGGAGGAGGCTCAGCAGAGGCACCTCACTGAGGACTAGGAGCATGGGATTTCCAAGCAGAGGGAAGACCTGCGGGAGTGCAAAGCCAGGTACTGGTGCCTGGAGGCTCAGTGGGCTGAGATGGTCAGCCAGTTCCAGGCCATGATGCAGCCCCACTGGAACGAGGCCCTCCGGCTCTTCGCCACTAGCGGCTCTTCCCTCCAGCCTTCACCGAAAGCCCCCCACCAGGAGCAGGCTGAAGCAGACCCCAAATCGGAATTTCTGCTCCCCTCCAACCCTCACAAAAAGACCCCGAAGGGGGAGACTCTCTGCAGAAACACACGTTGCATGTATCCATCCCAGGGGCCGTAGTTTGAGGACCCCTGATTTAGTGCAATATAAAAAATGCAAATAATTTTTTTGCGGACCCCCAAATTTTTCTCACGGACCACCAGTTGGTGACCGCTGGACTAGATGACCTTCCATCTCTGTTCACCTGAAATGTCCCTGAGGTGGAGAAAGGTGGCCCAGGGGAAGATTCAAGCCTGCAAACAGCTTATAGGTCTGCATGTACGCTTGGAGGATTTGAAGCATGGGAGGAGAGGAGATTTCACAAGACAGGGACCAGCAGAAAACGAGGGGAGGTAAACCTGCTATCGCTCCCTCCACATGAACCTTCCCCTGCTACTCACTTGCACAGCTTGGGGCACTGCCTAAAGCAGATTAACTGGTGGTCGGTGAGCTCTTTGTACAGCAGATAGAAGCAGTGACCTGGGGAAGAGAGGAATGAGGTTAATAGGAGGCAAGCGCCACAGGTAAAACTGTCACTCGAAAACTCAAGAGCTGGGAGATCCCCAAAGGGGCCGAGCTGGGGCTCCGAGAAACCCGCGTTTCCCCTTTTCCAGATGAATACAGCTGGACTGTCGCTTCCTATTTACAGAGCGGCAGCGTCTGGCTTTCCCTTCCCGTTTCCAACTGAATAACTTTGGGCCAGGCTGCTGTCCAAATGCTAAACGCACACGTGGGCGTCTTCACCGAGGCTTTGAAAGGACAGATTACGGAACTGTCCTGTAGCAGCTCTAAGAACCAAGCAAAGGTTACCGCAACCTCCCCTATTTTTCTCAGAATTAAACCCACGTCGATTTCTCAGTAAATGCATCGGCCTTTTGATAAATGCCCAGATGAGGAACCAAAACTAGGAGGACTAACACAACTTTTGTTGTAAGGTTGCAGCAATAGGATCTTGCGGGTCTTGAAGGAGGTCGCATTTCTGCTGCCTTTATGTTTCAGAGAACTAGGGAGAGCGAGGCTTCCCAAGGGCCCGAAACAAACTCCTTGTCCCGACAAAAAAGCCCTTTTTATTAATTGACTGTGAATTCTGCTCCTTCACATCCAGCAAAGTCTTTCAAGGGAGGATTTACGGTCACAGACATTATCTGTCTTAGAGAGCTGCCAGGCCGATATCTGCAAAACTTGGCAAGGAGTCTCGGAGAGTCATGAACCAATGAAGC